TGACCGCTGGGATGCGGCAGGCCCGCCTCAGGCGCCGCTAACCTAGCAGCTTCTGGCAGAGCTAAGTAAGAAACAGGCACCAGCCGATCTTTGTCGAAACCCTCGTTAATTCTGCTTGAATCTTCATTACATTTAACACAGAGCAGCAAATACTGTATTACATTATTTTCTCTTTAAAATATATTTTCTAAGTATAGCATCATCCATGTCCTGAAAATTAACCACTTGGGGCAAATAATGGGCACTACACGTTAGAAATTATTATTCCACCACTTAACCCCAACAGTGGGGAAACGAAGTCTACAGCCACTTCTTAGCACTTGCATTAATAAAGCTGTTGCCTGGGGCATTTGTCACTTGATACAGTGATCTTCAGAAAATACACTAGAGCTCTGAAACATTTGGTTTTGTAGATTGTTACATACTGTTCTTGTGACTCCCACAGGTACTATAAGAACATGTCAGAAATTTCTAATTCAGTATAACAGAAGACAGCTGCTGATGTTGTTGCAAAACTGTACAAATGAAGGTGAGTTCCTCCAGCCGCTTTACTAAAATGCAGCCTTAGTTCCTGTGGGTTTTGTAGGATATGCTGAGCTACTTCTGAATTCTTGAACTGAGAGATGTTCCTTTTTTTAGAAGTTGAGGATATTCCAGTGTATGTGAAGAGATCAAGTAATGACCCTCTGTTGCTCTCTTTATTGCAGAGGAAAGACGGTGTGTACAGAAGTCCTTGTTGAGCTGTTCCCTTACAGAAGAGCAGTCTCAAAGTGGAGATGAGGAAGATGATGATGGCACAGAGACAGACTGAACATTACTAGTTACTGTTCACCTCTGTCCTGTACTTGTGTAATCAAGATGTTACTACCAGTTGTCCTCAGTGTTAAGCAATGCAGGGGACAGAAAAAGCATCTGGTCATATTTAGACTTCATTCCCCCATTCCGAGTGTTCTTAAATAAATTTAAAAAAAAACAAAAATGGTTTTACTTAAGTAGGTTACTTGCCTGTTTCACTCCAAGAGTCAAAACCACCTGCACTCCTAAGGAGTGTAGCAGCTCAATGGGATCTTCATGCTGAGGTAGAAGTGAGCTTTAGGCAGTTGGCATGGACAAGGAATGTAGTTATTCTTCAGTACAGAAAAAGCATTAACATCTTACTGTTTTTTACCTATCTTCAAGTGCACCTGTTATCCATAGGGCTAGCCATTGTTTTGAGTCACAAAAACACCAGTTGTGTACACAGGAGCAGAGATTACAGGGAATGCAAGGTAGAGCTCCATCTGACCCATTGTAAAACTCAGGTACAAGTACTGCTTAGATATTTATTAAGTTTACACCAATCAGTTACAGGAAAGTAGCGTTGCTGGTATTATCTCTTGAATCCGTAGGAAAACAAGATACAACTTGAAGATGCTGTCCTGTGGAGACCGCCCCTGCAGAAGGGACGGTTTTCCTTGCCCGCATTGCTCCCTTACTTGTTCTAGTCCCTGTGAGAGGTGGAGGCGAGTTACACCAGCTCCAGCTATTCTGTCTCTCTTCCCAATGCAAAGTTGACTATAAATGTGTAGAGATAATAGAACACAACAGATAGTGGTTAGACACTAAGTAGTTACTCCTGTTCCATGGCTTAAAATGACTATTACAAATAGGAAACAATAGTACTGTGAAGGCAGTTAACTGCATGCTTGAATCTTTCTTACTTAGTTCCTTTCTCTGCCCTCACCAATAATTTTCCAATGTGCACGTAAAGCATTAACAGCAAGATGTGTTATCACTTTCAGGCATCTTGTCTTTGTTTCTTTGCACTTGAGAAGCTGTACTGTTTCCATCAAGTGTAGTTAATTGTGACCAAGCGTGAAGTCAAGCTGCTTTCAAAGAACGTTTCACAAGTGTTTCCTCTATCCTCCTGTAGCAGCTGAAGTATTCTTTACGTCCCCCGTCTCCCCCTTCTTTCTGGATCACAGCCGCATACAGAGCTTTGTGAAGTACACTCTTTGGTACTAGCTTCCCATGCGCACACGCTTAAGTGCCTCGAGGAAGCACTTGCATAATATGGAGCCTATTGCTTTGAAATCAAGCATCAACATATTGACAAACTTTTTAAATAGGGACGCAACCAATGGCTTTACCAACATTCTAACAATGTTAGAATACCTGACTCCAGGAGTCTCAAACACACAGCCTCCTTGCTCAGACCAGTCACAGCGTCGGAGGGAGAGAGCACATCAACCTTTTAAAGCCCGTGCAAATGCAGGCAGACCATCGATGGGGCTGAAGGTAACAGGAGACGCCTCTCAGTCTTGCACTGTAAGTTAGTGCCAGCTCCCTGGCATGAATTGTCAGTAGGAAGGTATGATTTGAATCTGCAACACGTGGTATTGTGCTCCACGTTGATGGGACAGTTCAGTTACAGCTCAGGAAGTGTGCAGTACGGTAAGTGCGTGTGCATATGATTTATTGCAACTGTGGCCTTGACTGGTACATTACACCTATAGTTCATTTTATTCAACAAAATCCACACCACTTAACTCATTAGCTCAAATCAAACCACAAGCAGTGCAGAATGTGACCACCCAAAGAAAGAGTGGGGAGGGGTCCAGAAAAGGCATGTTTATAGCCCGAGGTACTTAGCGCAGATCAACTTACATCCCAGAACCAAGCGGATACAGGCCCTTCTCCCAGTACAAGACGCCCCAGTTTCTTGCTGGGGGATAAAAATTATCTACAGACTCCAGCTATCAGTTGTTCTTCCAATTCAAGAGCAGCCAGTGTCAAAACATCATTCAGGTAGTTACCAAGAGCCCTACGGTGGAGTGTTTATTCTAGATGATCAGGTTACAAAGAATGTGTAGCCCATGGTTGGCAAAAAAAAAAGAAAAAATTAGCAGCCTCACTCACCCACATTAAAACAGAGTTGAACAACTGAGAGAAGCCCGGAGATTCCTTCTACCACTAGTGCCAGTACGCATTTTGAAATACACAAATTCATTGAGTCACTTCAAAACCAAGTAGCCAAGTTCTGCTTTACACTCACCTCAGCTTTAAATCTTTCCAAGCCAGGAGAACAGGAGGAATTCTTGCTCTTTAGAAAAAGAACAGATATAGCAGCTAACACTCTAAAGCCAGGAAGCTCTTTTGCCCATTTCCAGTGCAGCGAAAACCAGTTTCTCAAGAGAGCAGTTTGACAGCTTGACTGAAACAGCACTACTGTCACAGTCAGGTGGACTTCTGCCCATGAATACTTCTAGGGAAATGAAGGCTCTCTGCCTCTTCACTTAGGTAATATTGCAGTATTCTGGCAGTGCCACGCAGCTGTAAAGACTTTCATACTGCTTATTAGGCCAAAAGAACCGCCTTGGCACAGACTAGATGCCTTGGCTGATTTGCCTCTGGGTTGTTTCTTTCAAAACTTTGTTTCAGTATAAACTGATTAAGCAGTTGGAATCAAAAGATCTTACTTCAACATATACTGCCATGGCTTCCTCCTGAACACCCTAGAAGCCCCGGAAATACAAGTTTAGTCTGTTCAAATTTAAATACTTAAACTATAGCAGCAAAACAAAGCAAAATTAAAAGAAAACCAGGAGAGGAAACTTCTCTTGAATAGCAGAATCACTTTGTGTGAACAACAGAGGTGCTGAACAATAGCTTCTGCTTCTGTTTCTTTCTTTTCTTGCCTCCCTTTTCCTCTGTGAAGAATTAAAATGATACTGTCATTCTTCTCATGGAATAGGAACATCACACAGAAATGATAAATGGTCTTCCCTAGCCTAAATGACTTCTATGGGTCCGTGACACTTCCTATCAACTCACTGAGCACCAGGGGTTTAATTTTAACAAAAAAATTATTGCAGACAAACTAAGGGAGGCTCCATCACACCTAAAACACACCTATAAACATGCCTAACTGATTCTAAAGTTGCTGTTGCAACAGCAGATCCTAGGACTGCAAGAGTGCAGCAGTTTGCCTTTCCGACAAGTATTGCTTTCATCCATGTCCAAAAACCACTACCACTGGAGCTGATGCTCAATTTCACCGAAACTCCCAGGCCTTCCCATCCAACTCTCTCCATGATTCAGTGCAGCCTCCAAACAGGACCCAAAGCTAAATATCAGAACTGAGCATTATAAATGAATTTTATCAGCCAGCACCAGGCTTGGAGGTTTAAGTTCATCTCAATTTGTTTCAGACTCCCTAATTTGAAATTTCAGCTAGCAGTTACCTTGACATTTTGGTCAAACTTAAGTGGTAGTTCAGCAGCTCAGGTATTTTTAGTTTAAAAGTGCATAAGCTGAACTTCCTTGAGATAAAGCTTAAATTAAGTTCCAGCAGAGACATGGCAAACATGATCGTCAAAAGCCATCTTTGTCCTAACAGAATTCTTTGCTAGTTGGAGATCTTCCCAGCTCCCACTAAGAGAGTGCTTTAAGCTAACAGAAGCCCTAGTGAAGCTGTTCAGAAACCACAACCTGACAATTTTCAGAACTGTTCTGCGGCCAATTTTTGGTCCCCAAAATTGCTGCTCTCACTTCTCCCAGAGGAAGAAGGGGAAATATTCAAATTTTTCACTTCAGAAGTTTTTCATGCCTTCCCCCCCACCTTTTACCTGATAAATGATCAGCTGTGGACGGTTTGTCCAGTTTCAGGAGGGCTGCCTCAATAGCTTGGCTGAAGGAATTCTGGAAGCTGGGCACAGGTATGCGGTCGGAGCTGTCACTTTCTCCATCACTATCCACTGGCACAGGGAGTGCCAGAGTGTTCTCATCTGAAAGAAGGAAAGGGCCTTGAGAGGCAGAAGGCTGTACAGAACTTTCGCAGTGCAAATGCCCCTCCACACTCTGGATGTTTCTTGTGAAGTTACAAGATTTCTTATATTTAGATGAACGGTGAAGAACCAGAAGTAGTAAGTACCAAATTTTTTTACCTCTTGCCTTTGGAGCAGGTTTGGGCCATGTTTCTGGTTTTGCCTTTCCAACTCTCAACATCTATCAAAAAAGTTGTAAAATATGATCAAATCCCATGTACTAGAACAATCCTGCATATCCCCTAAGTGGCAAGAAAATCTAGGAACCCCTTCAAGCACTCAAACCCTATGTTGTCTTCATAAGATTTATCCCACATTGTTTTGTGAAAGCAATTGTGTTCTCAGACTAACCCCCAACTAAGACACAAGTAATTCTGACAAGATTTACTCTGCTACATGGCTTACCTGGGCAAAGGAAGGGAAGGGAGACTCCTCTTCCAAACTCCCACAGAGCAACGGGCTGACCTGGCTGGCAGCAGGCGACAGTGGGGTTGGAATAGACTCTACAGAGAAAGCAGCAGACAATTAAAGCCGGTTGCATTTGGCAAAGGCACTCATTATGCTGCTTATCAGGATGAAACGGAAATAGTTTTATCATCTTACAAAATTAACCATTTTTATCTCATCAGTTCCATCCATCAGTCACACAGTGGGACCTCTCAAATTTCCTCAATGTTTTTATTTAAGGGAGATTTAAATTTGTTGGGTGTGGTGTTTGGTTTTTTTGTGGTGTTTCTTTTTTGTTTTTGAGAAAAACATTTAAGAATAGTTTCTGTTTAATATTTTTTATGATCTGCAACATAAAACATTTGCTAAAGCATCATCAGACAACAACCTGAGTGTTCATCAACTACATTTTATTTTAGTATAATGTGGTGGGGAAGATGGAGAGGGTAGAAATAAAATGCCAGTGGTGTTTTCCTGGCATACACACTTCTCTTCCTTTTTTGGGGAATTTTTTTCCTTTCTTTTCTTCTGCCTTAATAAAGATTTAAAAGATGGGGTAACTACAATGCAGATCTCATATTGTCACTGAAGTAGAGCTAGTAAAAAGCAGACAAAGGACCAGAATGTTTCTTAGCTGTGTCAACCTTTTGTGTATGATCTCATAGGCAATCTAGGAAAGAAGCAGTCTTTGATCAGCATTAAGAAAGTTTAGCGTGATGACCTGAGCACCAGATCCCAAAAGAATGATCAAGAGCTAGATGTGATGTGTTTTTCCAGATGCTCACCTGTCTGAAACACAGGGCTTCTGCCAAGAGGAGACAGACAGAAGCTCTGATGATCAATGCTGGTAGTTTCTCCAGGGCAAGAGGTAAAAGCAGGGAACTGCTGCAGATTCTCTAAAGCAATATGGACCTCTGGATCTAGAAAGAGGTTTTAAATTAAAGCACTACACGATGTGGGGGAGGACTGTCAATATGCAAGTTGTTTCAGGAGTCTAGAAGGTGCCAACTCAATTTTCTTTCCACCCGCTATTTTAGAGACCAGTACAAGCCCTGCTGCTGGACGAAAGCAGTTCCTAGGCATTTTTGTTCCTTCTTCACTTTTCACTCTATATCATGATTACTATAAAAACAGCAATTAAGAATCCTGAGAGCTATATATACTGTGGAGATAACTGCACCCTCAAATGTCCTCTGTTTCTCCCATAATGTTATGCAATTGCTGCATACTTGCACATCATTTAACATCCTGACTAAAACAGCTTATATTTTTCACTCTACAGATGTTGTTTCTAATACCTTGTAATCTTCTTCTAAGTGCACACTACAAACTAAAGGCCTTAGAGTTCATCCTATAGCTCAAGAAATCAGCTCAGCAACTAAAGATGACTGGAAATCCACCAGTCATGCTCAATCATGACTTACATTTGCCCTGTTTCTTGTTTTCTTCCATCTCAATTCTGCGTTCACGTCGTCGTTCATCACGAGCTTTTTTCTGCCGTAGACGTTTCCTCTTTTCAAGGTCATCTAGGAGCGATGCACAGCATTGGATATAAAAAACCCCACACCAATACTTTGGCAATGTTTTCTCCAGCTTTGAGAACAATGTATTCAGTTATAACACATTAGTTACAAGATATGCTTCTCTTCCAAGCAGTCAGGCTTTTTTATTCTTTGTATAATTGTCTATAAAACAGTGAATTGAGGTTGTTCTGCCTAGTAGTCATTAGACAGTTGGTGCAAGAAGAGTAAAGCTGCTATGTATGTTCTTTCTTCTGCCATTAAGGGATAAGAATGACTTCCCCTTCACCCTCACGGATACAGGACAGAGACTACTAGAAAGGTAGTACCAACCTGAAAACAACTCTAAAGTCTCCTTAGAGATGACGGGTGGCTTCAGAGCCAGTTCACAAATGCTGAACTCACAGGTGAGGGGCAAGTGACAGAGGTAGCGATGACGCTGTCTTATATCCTGATAAAAAAAGCGCAGATCACAACAAGGTCCAGAGGCTGCCATACTGATGAATAGCTTACAGAGACAGAACGCCCACCATCATCAAATCAAATGTTAAAAAACAGCAGCAGTGACACAACAATCACTTTATAAACTACAAACACGTGAAGAATGCCCTGGGTCAGACCAAATGCTCCAAGATCTCCACCAACCACATCATAATCAGATTTGGATGCAGTTACTCCAGCTCGCTTATTCATCTTCTTGTTATTCCTCCCTTCTCACTCACATCACTGGAATAAAATTCTACAATACCAGTCTTCCGATGCAATTATTTTTGCACTGCACCAAATATCCCTTGAACTTCAGAGCCTTAAGAACTTTCACTCCCTCTATCTCAAACATTGAATTTTCTTTCCATTCTCTTTATTTTCATAACATCCCACCTCTACCCTTGATGCTCAGAAACAACTGTTTGTTCCAGACAGAGGCAGAATACTTCAGGTTGAGAAAGATAATAATCTGTCTAGTTCAAGCTACTGTCTTATATGAGAAAAGAATTTACTTTTTTTAGACAGCTTAACAACAAACCAATCTTAAGCTTGCAATTCTTTTACTCCTGGAACTTCCTACTTTCTAGGGGAAAAAAAAAAAAACTAGACTGCAGCCTACTTGTCAAAAGCAACATAAGGTCCTGCACCTTACACAGATGCCCTTCACAGATTAGCATGCCTACCCATTCATAGTTATTATTTCTTATTACTGAAGAGAAACAAGTCTCATCTGTCAGCTACAATGATCAATCTGCTAAAACAAGAGCCTTAATTAATAAGAAGATAAAATAACTACCTCTGTCATTGAGTAGCCAGTTATCTCCACTACAGTTGCAGTTATCTTCTCTGGACTCTTCTCCAAGCTGCCATATTCACGAACAAGACATCGAACATTCACAGGGTGAAGATACATACACTGTCCATCCTCCGCTATAAGATCAGATAAGATCAGATAAGATCAGATCTTGTTCTTTGCCTGTTAATTTTCAGTACCCTTCTCCCCACCTCAGTACATTCTCCAGTAATAAAATTAAAGCTCCTTTCTGAGTTTCTGTGGGACTTTTATTTCACAGGGGTTAGTGCATCTAATGAAGTGACAAACATCTTCCCCAAGAAGGATCCCAAAGGAGGCATCTCTGCCCCCACGATTCCAGGATTTCATTGCACTGACCTTGATAGAAATAGTAAAAAGGAGAGTTGCTAAGATGTCCACTGCTAATTTTATCTTTAGATTCTTGGTAGCTTGTTTCAGCTGGATTTGGTTCTTCTGTAGTGTTCATATCAAGTTCCCCTACAGTGTCCACCTCAGGTACTTCCTCTTCATCCAGCTCTGCCTCTTCTGCTTCCACAGGAGGTGAAAAGGAACTTGCCAGATCAGAGCAAGGCTCCAGAAGCTCCTCATCAAATGCAGAGAGATATTCCACACCACACTATCCCAGCAGAGAGCATACAGTTAGTGCCACATCACCTCCTTCAAAAGATTATAATCTCTGCAAAAATCTTTGGCACCAGTTCACCATACACTGCAGTGTAAAGTGGCAAAATTAAGTATTAACAAGATCTGCCAGAGCAGAGTTGTCACCCACCTTTTTCTCTTGGGAAACTGCAGGCTCCACAGCCTTGGAGCTTTCTAGGACCAATTCTTCCACAGCTGCATTGATTCCAGTAATGTCATTGTTTTTATCCTGGTCAGCAGAAAGTGCTGTTTCTCGCTCCTACAGGTCATCCAAAGAGAACAAGTTTACATTTCCTGTTTAAGCCAGGAGATTATCACCATAGTTACTTTTAGCTTTGTCCTATACTTCAGGTTTTCATAGATCTGTAATTCATCTGTGACAAAGGGTGACCCTTGAAGAGAGGTCCTCTCCTTCTTGTGACTGGAAAGCACACCCATTGTAGGATGCCTAAAGGCTTTGAAAAGGAATATTCTACAGGTTTGCTCATGTCTGCCCGATAGAAGTTAACCCAGAAACTGCTGGACCTGAAAAGGAAACACATCTTCCTTTGAAAGCAGAACTCCTTTACATTTATGGAAGGAATACCATTCAGTAAAAAGCTTTCTGTTCTGTTATCTTGAACATCATGCCAGATACCTGGGGTCCAAAGGCTACAATCTCCTCCAAGATTTATAACGCTATTCTAGCGGCAAACATCACCACCATGCTAGTATGTACATCGTGGAGACCAGAATAATCACACACAACCGCTTATGCAGCAGAACATAGATGCTCAGCACTCAGCACACTCTTAAAAATAAAGTCACTAAAAGTCTCCAAAGAGGTTCTCACCTTCAGTTCCTGGATAGCTGCCTCAATAAAGCAAGCCTCTGAGGTGTGTTTTTCTTCCTCATACTGTTTTAGTAATGCCGCTTTCTCCTCCAGAATCACCAGCTGCAAGACCTGCTCCCTGGATGCCAGAAGCAGCTTTGAATACTGACTGTGCTGGTCATCTGAACAGAAGGAGCACCAAATCATTAATATTCGTGTGTAGAGGCACCGGTTTGGACTGCTGTTTCTTCCAAAGTTTTGTAACTGCTCAATTGTGTGAGTTAATCCACCCCAGGGCAGACAATACTTAGCAAGAGTTTGACACAGACTCCGCGTATTACCATTATATCCTTGATAACACAAGCTGGTGCCACATAACTGCTCTGCTACACACATCTCCCCCACACAGCAGTTTATCTGCCACTTTCAACCTGTCTCTTCACCACTCAGTTGCTACACGTCAAAAAAAAAAAAAAAAAAGTCAAGTCTAAACTTCTATGCTGTGGAAGCATCGCCCTTGAGAAGCCTTGGGTGATCAAAACTTCCCGAAACAATGCAGTCTGCAGCTTCTGCCTCTTCTCTACATACTCAAAAATACTGCAACTGGAAAGTTCTGCAAAAGTGACCTCTGTTTTGGCTCAAACTAGTTCATAAGCCCGTACGTATTAAAAATCCATACAAAACATTAATATGAGGTTTTTACAAGAAGCACAGCAGAAATAGTAAGCTAAAGAATTGCAGCTTTAGCAAAAGGTAGTCATCTTTGTTACTAGAGTGCTTATCTTAACTATAAACTTTACAGCAACCATAGCATCACATACTAGCACAGTCCCTATATTCACTGCTCCCCAATGGTCCAACCTTGTCCACAGAACACCAAGTTAATGCTGAATTTCCTGGGTTTAGAATGATCTCAAGTCCCGTATTTGTGCTTTTGTTTGTTTTATGAAAGGATTTACAGTCATTTACTTTCAAATACTGAGAAACACGTAAGCACACACCCTGCATGCTGGATACCCATCATGCGTTAGGAGACTTGACTTTTTACAGAGAGCTTAAATGCACGCGACCTTTCATAAATGTGACTGCAAAATGAAGTGAGCCAAGACAGCCCACAAAACAGCAATGTTAAGTAAAATTATTTCTTTAGTCACAAAATTTTTGTGACTAACACAAATCAAAATTTTTGATACTAACAGATAAGATGATGATGTGTTAGTCACATTGCTTGACTGGAGAAAACTGAAGAAGTCAGGCAACAGATGTTTGGAATAGGTTTGCAATAATTTTGATTATTTTCCCACATCATTCACAGATTTTAGTTGGTAAGTGAAGATGATGAGAACCTTGTTGAAGATCACATCCTTGAAATAGTTTAGACACAGTTATTTTTGCTAAGCTGTATAATGAGGAGCCAGGAGGGAAAAAAAGTTAAGGACGCTGAAGAGCCAACAAAAGCAGCAAGAGTGACACCAATGACTGTACGATACAGAACACACATCAAACTAATACCAATGATCGAGAAGGCAGGAGTCTGCAATGCAGTAACTTGAAGGGAAACAGCACACAAGTTCAAGCCTTACAAAAAACAAAGCGTGGGTAGAAAGCTTATTATTAATATGCGGTCATTAGTTTTCACCTGCTAAAACCCATGTTTTGTAGTCTGGTTTATTTGAGGTGACAGCATGGCATTGCCATGGTAAATCCTCTCTACACAAGTCACAGTTAGGAGCAGGACGCCAACCACCAGTACTCAGATACACTCACCTCCAACGTAAACAGGCTGCACCATATTCATCCACTGAGATTTGGGCAGTGCTATCAGAACACCTTTCTCTCTTCTCATAAGTTGCATCGTAATGATATCACCAATTGCATATTGACGTGTTTCCATAGCAACAACACTGCAATGTAAGGAGGAGGTAAGTGGGAAAAAATAACATTTCAAAAAGATACATCATTTAATAAATATCCAGTCTCACCTCTTGAGATCCTTCTTGTGAACAGAGCCATAACAAATAGGACATTTACTCCAGGTCTTTTCACTCAAGGAGAGATAGTGAAGGATACATGCCCAACAAAAGATATGTCCACAGCGGGTGATCTTTGCTGCGGTTGGTGGGTACAGACATATTGGGCAAGAGGGCACTTCATGGCTACAAATTCGCTGAAATGGCACATGAGAAGAATAGCACAAGTTTTAGACTTAGAAATCAGTTCCTGTGCTACAGAATAAACCACCTGTAAGATCTACTCTAACATATTGATCTTCCAGCTCTTTAGGCTCTGCTTATTCACCAAGAAATTAAGTACACTGTGAACTAAGTAACACCTTCAGACTGCACATGGAATAACCTTCAAAGCCACCCACCCGGTATTTCTACTCTAATGACATTAAAAAAGTGACCCTTCTCATGTTTCCCCTCATGTATTCATACCTCTAAGAGTTAGCAGCACCTTCATCATCCGAATTCAGACACTGAGAAGACAGCAAATGAGCTGTCGCCTCACTTACACAAGCAGACTTGTGCTGCCCTGTTTAACTGCGAGACTGAACTTACCTATTTCCATGAACATGCTAGTTTAGTCAGACACTTTGTTAGCATCTGTATGTTGCAGAGACATAACTGCCAAGCAAGCACCTAGATTTTTCAGCTCTCTGGTAGCTTCAGGTAACAGTAAGCCTATCTCCTCTCCAGCTACACCATACACCAAGACTAGCCTTGGCAGATAGTAAGTTTCTACTTGAGGCAACCCGAAGTTCTGACAACAATTCTCAAGAGATTTTCCATTTTGTTGCTAGGCAAGATGGGCCACCTATGCACAGAATAATTCTTCAAAATTCTACACTCTAGTCCTCTTCCATGGACTCATGCCCAAGTTTTCTGTTAATATCTCGATCACAAGGACTCTGTCTACAGAATGTCAGATACTATTTTTGATGAGCTCCCATCTGTGAAAGCAAGAAGAAGCTGCTAATTTTCCTAATAGATTTTAGCACTTCTCTTTTCCTGTCATGAAAGTATTTCATAATATATTCCATGACAGATCTTTCCCAGTATTGTGGGAGTGACAGAAGAGGCCTCAACTCAGAAACAGCTGAGTTTTACGTAACATCACAGAGATAAAGAGGCAGTTAAAGACAGGTTGAGCTTCTTAAGAAGAAGAAGAAGAAAAAAAATCTAGCCCATCACAACTGACCACTTGCTCCACAAAGTCCCAGTTGACCAAGGTATCTGGATCAGCAAAGTGGACTGTGTAGTCCTGTTCTTCAGAGACAACAAACTGGCAGCTGGGGAAAGGCAAAGAGACAGATGATCCACTCAGTTGCTTCTAAAAATTCTTTGAGAACTATCCTATAGGATTCTCTGAGCTTCTTTGTCCAGCAGAAAACTGCTGGACGCAGTCAGTAATTCTACCAACAAAAAACAAAGTGTTCAATTCACAACCAGATTTCCAGAATACAGGTGTGCCTAATTTCAGTTAGGCAAACATCACACAGTAACTGCAGAATGAGCCAGGCAGAGTGGTTTTCCAGAATCGTATAAGAAACAGCCAGCTCCATCGGGGTACCTATTAAAAAACAGGGAATCCACAAGTGGAGAAAATATGCTCACAAAAACTAGAACTACTGGGGTTCCTGCAAATAGACTTCACTACAATAAGCCACAAAACAATAGGGAAAAATCAGAAGCATCAATGCTGAAAACAGTTTTTTTTAATCTTTAACGTGATCAGATAGAGGAAGTCCTAAACACACTTCAAATTCTGGTGAAAGTGACCATTATTTCCAGTCAAAAGCAATTCTGCTGCTGGATTACTATACTTATCATTTGGGTTACACTACATACCTAGGGGCCTGTGAAATAGGCAGTTTAAGAACTAAGACCCATATGAGTAATTGCTTCTGGGACTTACAAATTCAGATTAGCTTTCATCCAGCAACTGCTACCCCTACCATCTCAACATACTATTTTTTGGAAAAAAACAACTGTTTTCTGTAAGGGAACTACACAGGTCTTCCCAAATGGAGTGTCATATTCCACAAGCGATGCTAGAAAACTAGAGCAGAAGACTAATTGGTTTGTACCTAAAGGACCCACTCCATCAGATACCTTGTAAATAGGTAAAGATGACAACTTGATATATTTTTATCCCTTTCAAGCATAGTCATTACCACTAAAAACACTACGGAGAGGTAACTTCACCCTGGGAAAGTCAATACAAGTAGTCAAGGGGAAACACAATTCCCTGGCTCATCATGCCTCACAGCTCAGTGTCTCTGTAGAAGTCTAAGAGCCCTGCTAGTCTTCCACTCACTTGGCCTGTAGGAAGAGCTCCTTGTTGAAAGGCTTATGTCCCCACTTGTTCCTTTTCCCCCAGTTGCCATGTCCATTCCCATCAAAATGGCCTGCTTGGCCACGGGGTTCAAAAGTGAAGTTCAGTAAGTGGTTCAGATTAATCTTCTTGGGACCAGAGAACTGGGCAGGGCTGAACTCTGCCCGCCGAGCCTCTGCTACCTAAGAGACAACAGCATTTGTTAGAACTTGCTAGAATTTACTGCAAAAGCACCAGTACAAGTTGATACCCAGGCCCCATCAGTGATTACATACAGAATACGCAGCATCCACTCACTCACCTTCTCCCATTCCAGTTCTGCAAATCAAGTAGTGCAGCGTTAGAAGTGCATGAGAACCTGAAAGTTAGAACTGAGTGGTCTTACCCCACACTGATCAAAAGGAGGAGAGCATAAAACCAACCCACATAAGGACAAGTAAAAGCTGGCAAAACCTAGCAGTCAAGATTAATAACAGAAGAAAATTGTTCGAATCCTGACAATATTCTTTTAGACAGCCAGTAATACAAGTCTGATTACTATTTGCACAGGTTGTACTTGTTTTGGTTAGTTTTCATATAATGAAGCAAAGAATGAGAATTCAACAGAGACAGCAGGTGAGTTTTGACGGAGTCAGCAATTTAGGTGAGCAGTGTTGCTCATCCACTCAAACGGAAAAATTAGAGTATCAGTGAAAACCCACAAATAGTCTACAGTATTTAGACTCACATCAGCATAAAAGCCATCTTAATGTCACCAAGGCTAATATGATTACTTTCCCAATACCACTATCGCATGCAAATTTGTACACTGAAGTGGTTAGACACAATCACCTCAGACTTAAAAGCTAGAAATCGTATCACTAGATATTTTCATGAAGGACCTCTGTTTCATGAGATATGTACATGGCCCGTCTAGGTACCCATTCCTCAGATGGTATTTTTTATTGCAAGTCTCTCAGAGCAGAGAGCACTCCTCTTCTGTGGTTGCCAAGTTGTTCTGCTCACACTCATTCTGGCATCTCAACGATGTTAGCACCTTTTTTTTTTCCCTTCCCAGCCCAGGAGCTGAACACAGAAGACCTATCTAGGCAGGTCAGAGTGATCCTCTCGTCCCAAGAAAGAAGGCCTTGGAGGCATGGCATTACAATTCTCACCTCATCTCGTCTTCCACCATTACAAGAGCTAAAAAGTTTGCCACTTCCGCCGCTACTGCCCCTTTGAGGGGGCATCTTGTTAAAAGCTTTGCTTTTCTGTGAATTGGAGCGACGGGACTGACTGGAAAAGTTCTCATTTTTTGAATATGAAGTTTCTCTTTTACGATTATAACGCTGTTTGGATCCACTCGCATTCTTTCCATCTGAAAGAAAAAAAAAACCCAAGAATCAGATCGGCAGCCTCAGAGTTGTCCACATGTACTGCACCTCAGCTAGCTTCGCCCCAAAAGACGTGCTCACCCCAGCGGCTGCCGTGGGCCCTGGGTAAAAGGCTGGTGTTTATTGGGACATCAAATCCCCCCAGCAACCCAAACTGCTTCACTCCTATCACCGCCCAAAGAACTGGTCAAAGAGTATAAAAGAAGGATGTATTTGCTGTGTTTTATCTTTTATTAGAACGGTTGAATTTTCTTTATCCAGATTTGGAGTTGCCATCACCAGACATTAGCGTGTTGCCCGGTACATTAAGTGATAAATACCAAAACCACACCTTCATGTCCCATTACAAAAACTGACAACAACTAGTTCATTTTTTCATTCCATTTTCTGAGAACACACAATTTATCATATATTGTTCCCTTATATAAATATACTGCTGCCTCCATTTGTCTTGAAGTCTCCTACTTTGCAAGATCCCATTGCCTGTTTTCACTCAGCTCACCCCTGTGCTTAAAAGACCCCAACAGATCTAATTCTGTTTTAAAAATACCCTTTTCTTTCACGAGGCCAACAAATGCTAATCGATTTTGAAGCACGAACCCAATGCTTTGGCCTTGCAGGGCACGTGCCTGATGTCCAAGTACTAAGTCCACCAACCTATGCAACAAGAACTGTTTGCCCAAAAGCATGCTGAGCGTGCCACTGACTCTAACACAGGACACGTGCAAAATACTGCAGGAATAAAGCTCACAAGAGCAGAAAAGTCAGTCAGGCTCTTGAGAGGGGTTTCCTGCATCTAAACAGCTGCTTCATTACACTGCTAGAACAGAAAATTAATACTATGAAGGTATTTCTAATAGTCTTAACACAAGATCAGAGATGCCCCACGGACACAACAGACTGCTTACCTGTCACTTAACCTAGCATTTCCACCAACTGCCCCAAGTTTTATTTGTAGAAGAGGTATGTTGATAAGCTTGGAAGCAAAACTCCACAGGCCCAGCGAGACATCTGTCCACACCAGCCAGCCCCAAAGTCACTCTGGATACTCAGTAAGCGTTACACAAACAGTAACGCCTCATACAATATCTAGATCCATTTTATAAAAGCCTACTAGTTTCCCTTTTCCCACTTCATAGTCCTCCCCACCCCTTAATATAAATCTTACGTGGTAGGCAAACATGCCACTGTGATTCAGGATCGTGCTTCTCATATGGGTAGTTTTCATTACCCATGCCTCCAGTTTTCCCCTTCCCCGGCACCACTTCCAATCTACTCGAGCATTTAAAACAGCTGGAATGGGATCATTCACATGAAGTCTCACTTTTTTGTTATTTTTAGTTTTCTCTCCCACCTGCACCCCCAAAAAGAGGGGGGCTGTGGACTGGAAGGTCCGTGTGTTACTGTACACCACTGAGGATCTGCCTTCTTAAGAATAAGTTAAGTAATAAAAGTGGCTTGACTGGGTTTTGTGGTGGTCTGATGTTTCTTGCACACGGAAGACTTCAGTCTTTGCCTGCCACTACAGCTATAGAAGTAAAAGGACACTATCATTACTTTCACATGAAGTGACAGAGACATTTTACAGACAAACTTCATCACCAGAACTGGTCACTTACTCTGCTATTCAAAAGGCTGATCCTTTAATTCAGAATTGAACCAACTCCGTCAGAACCAGAGATATGTAACTCAAACACATGCTTGCATAGCTTGCAGTGCTATAACGCACATCAGGCTAAAAAGACACGGGTTGAGTGTTATCAGGAAAAAAACACCCCAGAAGCTGCCAGAAGTACTGAGGGTGTGACCAGGTCTGGCTGAATGATTACTTAGATAGACCTTTTTTGAGAGTGTTTATAGGGAAGAGGCTATAATCAACACTAATGAGTCTCTGGTAAAAAATTAAGTCATTTTGAAGAGGTTTGGACTACTACTTCAGCTATTCAGGAGCAGAGCTTGTCAGTTTAGAGCTCAACCATCCTCTTAAATCTGCAATTTCAGTGAACGTGCTACAGGGGCACATGCCTATTGTGTCTATAGCAACTTTGCAGTTTCTCTGCAATCATCGACTGGGGAAAAGAAACAACTCAAGAGGAGAAGTTCAGTCTGAAGTGTCTCTTTACAAGGCCCAGGAACAAGGAACAGCTTGCACCTGCAGCTGATAGAAGAATTTCCTACTACTCACAGCTTTAATCAAGTTAGTCACTGTCAAATTTGTCGGTCAGCTGGTTTACACACATTCCTGTCATACTACAGGTCCTTTCAGACCAAGTCTAGAGCCTTTGGGAGTCACTATAATGACACTCACATTCTATAGGGAAGTCCTCTCCACCTGTGCCTTTTTTAGGAAGGACCTTACATTACAGTCTAATGACGCTTCAAACTTGATTTTACTAATTGCAAGTTTCCCCTCCCAGAATAATTACCGTCATGAGGATTCTGGTCCATCAGAGTAATAACGAAATCAGTCAACAGACAACCAAGAGTTTGGAGTATGCATTTGTAAACTAGAACACTTCTCCCCCACCCCACTACGCAGTTCTGCTCCTTCCAACCTTTCTTTCCAGCATGCCATGTGTCGGAGAGCTCTCTGCTTTCTATCACCCCTCCTCACATTCCCACGAAGAGCGGGGCAGGACAGGGCTATCTGCACTCATGCAGGGAGAAAAGTGGAAGATGCTCACTGCCACCCTCTCTTGTTAGATCCCAGTTTTAAGTAGCATAGGTTTGAATTTGGCAGTTTCTTTTTTCCTTCTTTTCTTGGCAAATTAAAAATGAGCAACAGCGCTGGTGAGGTACTTACTCTTCACTCAGGTCCTCAGTTAGTCCTTCTGCAGTTCTCACAAGATCTAATCTATAATAAATTTATCTACCCATCCACACTCCAAGAGAACACAGACTTATAAAAAACACTGTCTATATAATTTTACAAAACTAGCAGCAAAGCTGTGTTGCCTTTTGGAGCAAGCCCTGACACCCGTGGTTTCTCCTGCTGGATGCCACGTTCTGTTAGAGGACCTCTATCTCCAAAGATCCAGAGAGAGATCAAGTTCACAGGACTAAAAGCAGCTGTAGGTGACCACTTTGGTCCCGGAGCTGCAGTACTGGTTTGCTACCGGGGTAAGGACTGCAGTTTCCTTCCGTCTTTGTTTGCCTCTTCTTCTCAGCTGCACTGTGTTGAAGCCAACTGTATTGCATAAGGGGTTTGGGTGGTGGATCACACTTAAGCCGCAGGGTGATTTCAGGAAAACACACTGAAGCTATTGCTGCTGCTAAGGCAAACATCCCAGTGAGCAAGAGGTGACTGAGCAGTCACGCACCCCAGCTAAGCATGCTCACACCGTAATAAAAAGGGCCAGGAACGTTTGTGAGAACTAGTGCTGTCCACGAGGCCTCGAGGACTGCAGAGAACCCCAACAAGCCTATTTTCCCTTAGGGACTTTATTCCATCCTAATGGAATGATGTGACTCCCGTTGGTGCACTAATATAAGCCAAAGAAACTTTTCTGTTGGAAACTTCCGAGTTTAATTTAGTTTCTAAGGCCAAGTTTGAAAGATAGCTGGAATCCAACTTCCACAAGTACAAGAGCTTACAGTATCCTATTTAGCCCATTTCAAGCTGTGCTGCAAGAGAAACAGAAGGAGAAGCTACTGCAAGGTTTCACAAACGTCCGCGTCTTCATTTCTTCCGCTGGACTTGATCACAGCAGGCAACTCTGAAAAGCATCTAAATGGCAAGAGCTTGACTAGACTCAAATCCAGTGACCATTGGTGCAAAAGTCACTTATGCAACAAAAGGTCAGCATTGAGAGGAGGGTCTGTGGTGCACCAAGAATACTTTCCATTTCGAAGGAGGCACAAGATTTTCAGAATACCTCCTATACCTTTCCTGAAACAGGAGAGAAATTGGGTGGACCAAATCCGCTACGTAAGGAACTCAAGGAAAAAATCCCATACAGTGACATGCCAGTGTCTTGCGTGCAACAGCTACCAAAACATAGCCACAATTTAACACAGGTGCATCCTCTATGTTCGTCCTGTCGTTGTTTGCCCTAATCTGACCAAGGGAATCTTCTCACTTTAGTTTTCAGTATCCTGCAGTTAAGATATTCCTAAATATACATCTACTCCTACTAAAAGAGGTTCTAATTTTGCCAGGCCTCTTCAATGCACTGTAAAGGAAGCAACTCATTCCATATCCCTTTGCCCTCCACTGTAGTTAAGAAACAAGCATCTTAGAAGTGGAATTATATCAAGCCAAAATTTTCTTCTGTTTTATTAAAAAAGAGGTCTTCAAAACAGTTTGGGGTTTTTTTCATCAAAAGTTAGTCTATTGTATTGGAGTAGAAGAGTATGGTATATCAGGATTTCTCTCCTCACTGCTCCTCTGCTACTAGTGACATTGTTTCAAGCCTGCAAAAGGTGGCATTCCACAAAAAACGCTTTTATTTTGGGCTGGAATGATAGGCTTTGTACTTCCTTCCTCACTACAGATACTGTTTCTTCTACATGAAGGCACACCAGCCATAGGACAGGCCACCTGAACTCCTTACTGAAGGATGTTTATATTCTGTGAACAATCCTCCATACAGCATCACACATCACTAAAAAAGAAGCTGTATCTCTTGGTGAGACAGAAACCAGTTCTCCACAACAAGAAAACCTCATGTCTGCTGGCCTTTCACATGCAGAGAAGTTTATATTCTTTGTTATTCCATCAGAAGCCAAAGATCTGGTTTTAAAACTCTTGTTGCATACATAGCACCTGATATCCCCTGCTTCCCTTGGTCTGTCCATCAGAGGGAAAAAAAAATTAAATAAGAGACTGAAAAATAACAACACTAGCTCACATCAAATCCTGATGCAAAAAACTTTACAAATCAGTTAGGAGTGCTTCCAGAAATGACTGCCTAAAAAGTTCTTCCTAAAAAGACTTTCATATGTTTGAAGTTAAAACTTAACTATAATCGCACAGCTA